TGGCGAGTGTGGATCATTTGGAGTTTGTCTGAGGCCTTAAGGCCCCGCGTGACATCAGAAAATCGCTCCCTGAGGGCTTTCAGGAAGTCGGCGAGGGGTGTCAGTCTGGAGTATGTACCCATATCGTTATCGCAGTTGGCAGCGCGGGCTAGCGACCTAGCAAAGCTAGTTGCTACGTCTCTAAGGGCCTGGAAGGCCACCAAAGTGTGGTCTTCAGGTCTGACTCCCTGCAAATACAGATAGGAGTGCACATTGGCCTCCCAGTTATCAAAATCTTCACCCTTCTTCCCACTGAAGGGTTCGGGAAATCGGACCTTGACTTTCTCGTGACGTGGTGGGGCCGGCTCCTCTTCCTTAGGGGCCGTTAGCTTGGCGCCTTCAATGGCGCCAGTACAAAACTCTCGGGTCCTATTAATCGCGATGTGCACTTCGGTCAGCAGGTGTTTCATCATGTCGCACGCGAAGTCCTTGAACCCCGCGCGTATCGCGTCTATCTTGATGTCTTGACTGCGTTCATACTGCATTTGTTCCCGCTGTGCGACTAATAAAGCCTCTACACTTTGGATCAGCGTATCTAGCTTGGTTGCTAGCTCAGTCTCCGCTCGGATCTTCCCCATCCTAACTTCCGTCGCTCTTAGGTCCTTGTCCGCCCTCTCTGCCGTTTCCAATCTCCTGACCCTTTCTTGGGATAACCGGTATCTCCACGCCATCCGATGTTCCTCCTCCTTTGCCCCTCTCTTTACTGGATCCCTCTCTGCTTCAATTTGCGTCCTGGCTGCTTCTCTTTCTTCCTCGGGTACAGCCATCTCAGCCTCCTGGTCTTCCCCTAACTTCAAATGTGCGGCCCACTCATGCGCCCTTTCCGCAATCTCCGCTTCTTTACTTGTGCTTCCTCCTCCTCTTCTCCTCTCTAGCGGTCTTTCTTCTTCTTCTTCCACTTCTTCTTCTTCTTCTTCTTCTTCTTCCGCCTAAATAGCTGCCATCTTCTCCTCCTGCTCCTTCTTCCATCTTTCCATCTCCTCCTCCATCTGCCTCTTTTTTGCTTCCTGCTCCTCCAGCAGCGCCAACATCTTAGCCTGTCTGATTAGTTCCCTCTTCTCCATCTTCTCTTTCTTCTCACGCAGAAGGGCGGCAGCTCTCTCCTCCTGCTCTTTGCTGTAGGGGGTGGTAACGGTTCCGGATCTAAGGGTCACCATGTTGACAGCGCACAATTAACAACAATTCCACACCTCAACACTTAGACCGAACAGGTTACTTCTACTTCTGGGATTTGGTTCACTACCCGAACTGAACTCGCGGTTCTATGACCACACACACAGAGTCCTAACACCCTAGACAGTAGTGACAGGGAGATAGGACTGACTGTCCTTGACAGACTCTATGCCAGCAAGTACCGGGGTGAAGGTAC